GCAACCCCCACATGACCAAGTAGAACTGCCCTATAAGGGTTTCCTTTACAGGAGCAAATCTCCAGATCAAGCATTGGGCTGCAAACCCAAAGGTCGAGGGTTCCAACCCACCAGCCACTCCATGGGAGAAAGATGAGGCAGTCTGCTTCCGTAAAGATCAATAGCCTTAGAAACCCCATGGGGTGGTTATAGTCTATCCTATAGGGTCGATATGAGTAGGAATTGTCTCCATGACAGTGGGTTTTGGTTCTTCTCCAGCAGAGCTAATAGTGGGTTAGAATCAACAATCTTCCAATTAGCAGTTGAGCACTTAACCACTGCACTACCAGGGCTCCTTGAGCAGAACACTGAACTGTCAAAATTGTAAATGCAATCATTACTAAAACTCAACCAGATGGACTATGAAATACCAGAATTCAGTTCCATCATCTAAAAGGTACATTTTTTAAAGTTAAAATGTTAAAAGCTTCTTCAACTTGCTAATTATAAAACATAAAGGACAATATACTTATATTTCTCATGTGGTTATTTTTTTCACTCAAATTCAGATTGAGATCTCTAAAGACTATGGAATTATTTTTTAAATGGGGTGGGTGGGGGGAGAACAACCCCACTTAAAGGATCAAGGTCCTGAAAGGTAGAAACCACAGCCTACCCGCCTCCGTGGCAGCCAAGCCGTTTGCTAACATCTCGCTGAAGCAAGCCTTCCAGAAGGGACGTTAATTCCGGGGAGAACGTATCTGGAAGTTCCACATTCTGGGGAAGAGAAGAGCAAAATCTCCAAAACCCATTCTTGGAAACACCACCTTCACACCCAACCAGGTTTAAAAGTCCATTCCTTGGATAAGCATAGTATTCACAACTGTCGATGCATCAAGAAATAATGTTTACTCTACAGAATGATAATTAGGTTACTAATCACTTTCTAAATCAATCAACAGGCTGGGGCCAGGTGCCTACTCGTCCACATCTCAGTACTTTGTACTTTGATTTGATTTCTTTAGTTTCCTGCATCTTTCTCATCCTCTTTGGGAGTAAAGCTTGATTTTTAACCTTGGTGTCTATTTCCACTAACTTTTCTCCTAGAAACTCTTCTAGGAGCGGTGTCTGCATGCATTTATTTCAAAGAGCCATTTTATCCTGTTTATCACAGAATGAGCCACAGAAACTACTCTATCGTTAGAAGAATGCAATTTTAAATCCCCTTACCACGGTGAGTGTCATACGGTCTATCTCATGCTTATCTTTGGTTTTATGTTGTCTGAAAGGGCTGTGGCTGTAGAAATAGAGAACATACAGTAAAACATGATGTCAGGTAACTTCTATCACTGTTCATTTGAGACAACAGAAATACAAAAGCCATAAACATTGATCACATCCAGAGAACAGATGGTGATCAAATATATTGTTGTTGTTGTCATGTGCCATCGAGTTGAGTCAGACCCGACTCACAGTGATGCCTCCTTGGGTTTCCGAGGTGGTATCACTATGGAAGTAGATTGCCCAACCTTCCTTCTGAGGAGTGGCTGGTGGGTTTGAACTGCCAGCCTCCTGATTAGCAGTCAAGTACTTTAGACACTGTGCTACCAGAGCTCTCAAAACACTGTCATCAAGTTGATTCCGACTCAGTGACCCTCCTTGGGTTTCCGAGGCAGTATCACTACGGAAGTAGATTGCCCAACCTGCCTTCTGAGGAGTGGCTAGTGGGTTTGAACCACCAACCTTCTGGTTAGCAGTCAAATGCCTGAGGCACTATGTTACCAGAGAGACTTAAATCTTATTTGACCTGCCTTATCCCTCATTTAAATGAAATTGTGGCACTAAAATATGCTTTTCCAATTAAGCGGTCATTAGGAAAGAAAAGATATAATTAGTCAATAGATAATCATGAAAATGGAAGTCAATTACAAAAAAATATGTCTTGTTCTAAATAGACCAGGACTTCATCTTGAGTGAGACCAGAACTACATGGTGCCCAGCTACCACTACCGACCATTCTGATCAGGGCCTCAATACATAGGCCCTGATAGAATGGAAGAAAAGTGTGGAACAGAACCGTACATTCCTAAAATCAACCAACCAAACAAAACAGACTTACTGGGCTGGTTGAGAAGGGAGGACTCCCAGAGACTAACTACTACCCAGAGACATTCTTTAAATTCTGAACCAAAACTAACCCTTGAGCTCAGGTCATTTTGTAGCTGAATAACAGAGTGGCTCACAAAATAATGATGATCACCCATGAGCACTGTGCTCCTATAAAAAAAAAAAAAATCACCTACAAGGGGTGGGAAGGCAAATGAGACGACATCCAAGAATACATACAGGTTTGACAGAGGCTATCTCCGCCCATGTACTCACATGTGCTACAAATACAACCATGAATGTAGGAGAGCGTACAGGGGGCCAAGTTAGGAAAATGTCTTAGTCACAACCAAACACCTTGATGGAATGACCCTCTGGGTATGGAGGATCAGGACATAACATAGTCCAGACACAATGCTCTACATCCTACTTTGGGGAGTAGTGACTGGGGTCTTAAAAGCTTGTGAGTGGCCATCTAACATACAACTTTTTGTCTCTCCTTGTCTGGAGCAAAGAGTTAAATATAAAAGCAAGACACAGTTAGGCCAAAGGACTATGGGGCACAAGAACCCCAGCCTCCACGATCCTGAGACCAGAAGAACTAGATGTGGACCAGCCACCCATGCTGACTCCTATGAAAGGGATCACAATAAGAGGTCCCAGGTAGAGTAGGGGGAAACGTGGAAGAAAACTCAAAATCACACAAAAGACCAGGCTTACTGGTCTGATAAAGACTGATGGAATGGCCCAGACTCTGGCCCTTAGATACCCTGCAAGCTAGGAACTGAACTTAAACCCCATGACTTGGCAGCCAAACAATAGACAGGCTTTTAAGGTGAACAGTGATGCCAGGAGGGGATGCACTCATTACAACAATCAAGCAGATGCGATGAAGGGGACAGCATTTGCCCAGTGATAGAGCTAGGAAGGTGGGAAGGGATGGGAAGGAAGACTGCAGGGGAAGGGTGGGTGTAGGGAGGAAGTGGGAAGAACGCTGTGAAACTGTGGGGATTGCAGTAAATGTCACAAAACAGAATGTGTAAAAAAAAAAAAAATGTTTTTAATCACCTATATGAGACTAAAGGAGCTGTGGTACTGTAGTGCCTAAGGCATCTGACTGCTAACCAGAAAGCTGGCGGTTCAAACTCATCAGCCGCTCCTCAGAAGGGAGACTGGGCAATCTACTTTCACAGTGATACTGCCTCAGAAACCCAAGGAGGGGTCACTATAAGTTGGACCCGACTCAATGGCAGTGAGTTTGGTCTCTCTCTTTCTTTTCTTTTTTTGTCAGACTAAATGGTCAACAATTACTTTAAAACAAAGATAAGATTGTAAGCAGGGCAAGGAAACTAGATTAATGGAAATAATGAGAATGTCTGTGCACTGTGAAGAAGTAACCAATGTCACTGGACCACATGTGCAGAAATGGTTGAATGGGAACTTAAAGTGCTTTATGAATCTTCACTGAAAACAATAAAACATTAAAAAAACAAAACAAAATATGTCTTATCAGTGTTTGAGGAGCTCTGGTGGTATAGTACCTAAGGCACTTGACTGCTAACCAGAAGGATGATGGTTCAAACCCACCAGCCACTCCTCGGAAGGAAGGTTGGGCAATTGACTTCTGTAGTGATACTGCCTCGGAAACCCAAGGAGGGGTCGCTATGAGTCGGGTCCGACTCAATGGCACATAACAACAACAACAACAACAATCAGTGTTTGAACTAAAATAACTTTCACACAATTTTTAATATTTTCAGCAAAACAGATCTTAGTCCCTCACCTAACCCAAGGAACAGAGATCAAATCAAAATTTCATCAAGTGGGACAGGATTCCCCCTCAGCCCCCCAGAATCAATAATGTCTTAATCAGAAATTAGTAATTTTTGGTAATAGATTCCCTCAACGATAACAGAAGTGAACGAATCCAACGCCCCCGGATCCTCTCGAGCCCAGAGTGCGGATTCCTTTCAGGGTTCCCATCTCAGGGTCCCAGAGCTGGGGTCCTGTTTAGCTGTGAGCCAGTCATGGGAAACTTCAGTATCACTTTCCTCAGAGTCCCTGGGAAGTGTGAACCATTAAAGCCGCTAACCGAAAGGGTGGAGGCTTGAGTCCACCCAGAGGCATCTCGGAAGGAAATCCTGCCATCTACTTCCCACATGCTGCCAGGGAAAGCCCTCTGGAGCACAGTACTACTCTGACACCTACGGTCTCGCCATGAGGTGGAATCGACGCCACGGCAACGTTTTAAACAAAAAATCCGTCTCCTCATCTGTAAAACGGGACAATGCCACATACTTCACAGGTATGTGCAAGGGAACAATGAAAATAATGTAGGAGTGAGAAGCCAGGACTACACCAGTACACAGTAGGTATCTAATGGGGTCATTATTTCTCAGATTAATAAAGGTGTAACAGCACTTCATAAAATCAATGTTCGCTTGATAACTATTTAAGATGAATAGTTTATTCTTTACCATGTCTTTAGCACTCTGGGGAAGCTAGAAAGGAAATCTGATTGTTAAATGATCCCATTCAACATGCAAATTAGAAAACCAAGGGCTTACGTCTTTGAAAATTAAAGACCGGATATATATCATTGCATGAGACTTGCCTGGAAAAAGCCTAATCCAATAATTGTATTTATAACATACATGAGACCAAAATCTGAGGCAAGCTATTTTGCAAAACATTTTACTGCTAACTTCACGAAATAGATTAGAATGTTGAATGTATCAATATCGCGATGAGAATGAAAACCCTACTTGTCCTGCCCTGCCCCTCACGACTCCCCTGGCCGTCATCCTAACTCACACAAGCTGGGCGTTCAGTCATCTCTTGAAGACAGCATTCCATGTCAGAGCATTCATTGTCCTAAATGTTCTAATTTTCTTTTTGTACAAGAGAGGGCACTCTGATGCTTTATTTTCTTCCTTATCATGCAATAAAGGACAAAGTCATTTCTGCCTCTTGGAAGCATTCTTTGGGGCAGGGGGAGAGTCCAATCGTGAAGAATTCCGGTGGGGGAGGCAGGGAGATAGGTTGATGGGGAATCACATGGTTAAATGAGGCCAGATGCCAGGGAGAAGTGCTATTTGGGGGTGCTGGTGCATGAATACTTGTTAAAAAACAAACAAAACCAAACTCATTGCCATCAAGTCGCTTCTGACTCAGAGAGACCCTACAGGATGGAGCAGAACTACCCTCAGAGGGTCTCCAAGGTCTTTAATGGACGCAGGTTGCCCCATTTTTCTCTCGCAGAGGCAGAGGGCTGCTGGGTTCTTATCATTGATGTCTCGGGTAGCCGCCAAGCACTAAATCACTGTGCCACCAGGGTTCCATATGAATATTTGTTACATTATTAAATATAAATAATAAATAAAAGTAGAGAGAGAAAAAAAAAAGGTAAATTAGCACTAAGTGAGCAAATACTACTATTTAAGACAGATGCTTATTGGGAATATTTCTTCACCCTAATTGTTTCCAAGGAGAAAAGTATACAATGAATGCATTTTAAAAACAAACAGAATATTGAAAATAAACATTAGCAACTTATTAATTTATTATTAGGAGCTCTGGTAGCATAATGCCTAAGGCACTTGACTGCTAATCAGAAGGCTGGCGGTTCAAACCCACCAGCCACTCCTCGGAAGGAAGGTTGGGCAATCTACTTCCGTAGTGATACTGCCTCGGAAACCCAAGGAGCGGTCGCCATGAGTCAGATCCGACTCGACGGCACATAACAACAACAACAACAAATTTACTATTTAAGAGACTAGCATTGAAAATACCTATCATACTTGTATCACTCTCTTACGTGCAAAGTACACACATCACATACATTAACATGTTTATGAGTAAAAGGGAATAAAAACTTTGCTAACTCTTACTTAAACCTTAGTCCCTCTCCTCGACACTTAGCTGTTTCTACTCCTCAGTGCTCCTTAAGGTAAATCCGTTGCCATTGAGTTGGTTCTGATTCATGGTGACCCCACGTGTGTCCACAGAGATCACAAGGGCTGATTATCAGAAGGAGATTGCCAGGTCTTTCTTTGGAGGTCCCTCTGGTTGGACACGAACTCCCAACCTGTTGGCTAGCAGTGGAGTACATTTCCGCACATTTCTCTCTTTAATGTGTACGAGGGGGTGAAGCAAAGACCTCCTTGCATTTCAGCAAACCCCTCTGATCTG